TTTAAAAAAAAAAAAAAAAAATGGTATGATAATCTGCATGCTCAAAGTCAATCTCAGCACTTCAAAACAACCAGCTTTAAACTCATATTGCTACTGACTCACTGCATTCTTTGTAGAGTACAAAAATATTGACTAATTCACAGGAAGGTCTAAAGGGTAGCTCTACTTGTCCAAGGTTTACCTCAAAAATCCAGTGCATCTCTTCAATGGTCTCTTTTGTTTACATTCATAAAGTGATCATTACATAAATAAACAATTTAACTCATTCTCATGCATGCACATTGATTTAATGTATTTCAAATGTAGAACAATAAAATAGAGACAAGTTAAATATGAACCAGCTCTATTAAAAAGAATTACCTTAGAATGATTGGCTGCCGAAAAGCCCTAAACAATGTAAAAGTGGCCATTTTCAGAGAATGGAGCCATTGTGTTGCCAAGGATCCATCTTTTTTAGATGCCTGGGATTTACTTATGGTAGCTTGCCCTTTTTTGGTATTTTTCTGGCTCTTCTTTCGCTTCGAAACACTGGTTTTGGACTTTTCAGCAGAAAGATTATCTTCGTGAAAAGAACTATTATTCATTGAGGGGGAGACTCCATTTGAAGTAGAATGTTCCAGAAACTCTTTACTATTTACAGAACTCTCCTCCACTAAACAACATGAAAATAGCTGGATGGTCGGTAAAGCTGAAAAAAGAAAAAATATTTTATTTATCTGTAAATTAGTTAGTGCATATCCTCCAAGCAAACTCCCACAGATTCCTCCCAAAGCCATTGTCATCCAAGATAGCAAATGAGGCCCTGTTCATGTACAATTGTAAGAAAATTCATAATCTATTAGCTGATAAACATCAAAACATGCACAAGAATACAGAGATAGAGAGATTCGGGGGACAAAGCATTGAATACAAGCTAAGAAGCATAGACATGGACACACTGACGCGTGATTTTTACAAATGTAGGACATGAATACGTCAATTTAAATTCTTTAAGTAAATACATTTATATATTATATCTTCATTTTCACTAGTGCTAGAGAAAGAAAAATACATATTAGCAGATGTAAAAAAAAATTAACATGAAGTTCGCGTTGGAAACATGCCTTGGAGTATTGGAGAGAAGTGTCGGTTGTTCGACACGACATGATGTGACAAGTGTGTCAGAAATGGACACGCTGCCTTGTCCATGCTTCATGGAGTACAAGAACATTGAGAGCAAACTGAAATAGGCTTCAGTACACCAACAGTAGATACAAACATAGGTAAACCAACTATAATTGGTTGGTGAAGTTTGGGGGCTGATCAATGTGCCAAAAATAAAGATAATGCAAAAGTTACAGTGGATGATACAGCTCAATGTTTTGTAGATAGGCCAATTTGTCACAATACAGCTCTGCAAATTGTAATTGTTTATAGGGATCAGCGTATTTGACTGAAAGTTCAAAATTATACGGCCAATCAAACAATACAAGATTTTACAAATAACTTTCCAGGATTATAAAGACAATTGAGTTTATTTATTTTGAATGCAAAGTTCAAGCTTGATCATTAGCCTGAACTGTTAGCTTTTGCATCAAATCAACACTTCGATCTTTGCTGCAAATATTACTGACTGAGAAGTCTAAAAACATTTTATGTCCCCTTGTCATTCCTTTATGTCTATATTGGAAATAA